TAGGAAAAGTCTCAATCCTTACATGGAACCGAACGTAAAATAAATACAACCATTCTTGCTTTCGTCCAACCATTTTTGCACTTCCTACAATAAACTTTTTTAAAACAAGTAATTTACGATAAATTATCCTAATTTATGGCAATAAATATTTTTATACATCTAACATCACGGAATAAGCAAATCTTAGATTGTTTCTCCCAAAAATAAATATATTTAAAAAAAGAGAGACAGATCATTAAATAATGAAATTTGCAATAAAGCAATATAATTATTTTTTGTGTTATCATAATGTTATGCGCATATTTATATACGATTTATTGAAAGAAAAAGATTTTGTTTTTAATAAAAATTTGTGACAGAGAAAATACAAAATAGCTCATTTGTTATCAAATGCACAGATCATGTAAAATATTACATTTAATAAAATAAGATACATATTGTATATCTTATCTTTTAAATACGTTATTTTTGAACATAAAATTTCTTTTTCTTTCTCCTAATTTTCCTAGAATAATTTTACATTATATTTACTTGAACTTTCAGTTTCAAATTTTCTTTGTGAAATAATTATTTTATTTATAGATACTTTTTATTCTTTACTGGCTTTGAATGAAAAAATGGAGTAGATAGAATTGCATTAATAATAAAAAAATCTCATTAGATCAATTATGCGCAGAAAGAACTAACATGCGTTATACGAATAATTTGCGAAGAAATCAATTTTTATTTTAATTACCGGCGGCAATGGGTCGTCGTTCTTGAGATGCACACCGCCGACCTCGATTACATTAGTGGTCATTGGCCTAATTCCGTGTAACGAGTGATGAGTATTGACCAGGTACAAAGCTATGTCACGGTACAAGTCCTTGATGTGTGATACATCTATATCAAAGTGCTTTTTCATGAATTCCAATTGTGAATTCGCCTGATATGTATTTGTGCTGAGATGTAGTTTGATAAAATAACGTTTGCCACTCGTTGCGTGAAACTCATGCGTTGGGTGTATGTCGAGAACAAGCTTGGAATGTAAGCGAGATTAAAGTGGATTGCCGGACACCTCGTTGAGCCAATCGTGAAAAACGCTAGCCACCGTAGCGACTATGGAACATTGAGATGACGGCCAAAGGCCAGGTAGCACGGTGTCATAAACGACTGTAAATCAAAACATTGCAATTTATCGATCGATTAATTATTCACAATCATCTCGCAGTCACACTCGCCAAGTCATGAGTTGAATTATACTATTAATAATCGAGTGTAATTCAACTGATGCAACATGATGAAATGTGTCATTCGTTTAGGGGGGGGGGGGGGGAGAAGACAAAGTCCCATTATGGCACGCTGCTACTCAAAATAATGAGATAAATAGATGTAACGAACAACATTGTAAAATGGCAAAAACAAAGATATAAACGTTATATTATATATTAATTATACCATGAGATATATAGCTGAATAATTCTCTCGATACACAAAGATACTGTATTTAAGACGCGTTCACATAATAATCCTGTCCATAAATCTTGTCCTGTCAAATATACAATGATATTTCGGGATTCAAAAGTCCTTAATGTCGCTAATGACTCAAATCATTAACGTATGATATAATTTTTGCAATAGAATTTATCAAATTTTTCATGTAATTACGCGAATACAAATTGAAAAATATAAATGATAGCTTGTTGAGTATTATGTATTGAATAATTAATTAATATAATTTATCACACTTTCATAAATTATATGCAACCTCTTTTCATTGAAATATTTATTTTAAATAGCAAATAAAATATTTATTATTTGAATGATGCAACATGCACTCATAATCACGGTTTATATTTCAATGTATATCGTGTTCTTATGTCATATTCTAAAATTTTTTTTTAAGATTCATTGTTACATAAATGTGTCATAAAACTTTCAATTCGTGAATTGTGTTAGTTAATGAACTCAGACGCCGAAAGACTACCGTATGACTGTAAACCACACGCAAAAAGTGCACAGTGATAAGACAATTTCTGATAATGATCTCAAGTTATCTTGCAATCGTAAATTTTGGTATAACTTAATTTGGTACTCTGATGTAGTACTATTCATTAGTAAGAGACACTTGAATTAATGGTTTAATCAGTGACCTTTAAATTATTGTTATTATTAATATTATTGTTATTGTAATTATTGTCACCATTGTCATCATCATTATTATTATTATTATTATAGAGATAATGAGACAAAATTTTGTCTGCCAAAGGTTGTTCTCTTGTTTATATATCTTGTTTATATATCTAAATTTAATGAAATAATTATTTAGTCCAGGTTTAAATAAAGTCTTGAGTAAACGATTACTTGATTAAATTTAACTTTTTTCTCTCATTCTCCATGCGTGACAAAAATGCTGCTATTCTGGATGTTTGTTGCTATATAATGTATGTAGTGTCTGTTGTTCTAATAATTTACTGATTTTAAATTGTAATTATCTTCTTCTTTCCGATGATTAGTATTTTTTAAATAATAATGATATTATTCTTTCTTAAATATGTTTGCGATTAAAAAAATGTGAATATTTTTAGCGTAAGAATTAAATAAAAAAGCACAAGGAAAACGTTGAAAATATACATAATGTTATGAGATACATCTCATCACAATATATAAAGTGTTTTATGATTTTTATCAAGTCATATTTAAATAAAATTCTTTTAATAAGTGGAAGTATTAATTGTTTATTAATAAAAATATCAAACAATTTTTGCATCTTAAAGAATAAAAATAAAAGTTCTTTGTGAATTAAACTTTTGATGCAAGTCATTAATGGGATTTTACTCTATTCATTTAATGTCAAGCAAGTTTTACTGAAAATATTAAAGTATTTAAGAATTTTACAACTGCAAAGAGCAAAATAATCTGACATTGAAATGAAAAGCACAAAATCTTGGAAAATTATCAGAAAAGTTTTAATACAGATTTGACCGGTTCAAGAGATAGCATTCTATAAAAATACGTAATTTTAAATAATAAAAATTTTTTTATTCATACAAGAGTGAATAAACATGCACATATTCGAAAGCATTCTTAATAATCATACCTCCGTAATAACTATGTCATAAGGAGGATTCTGCGGCGGGTTCTTGATCAGTTCTTGTATCTTCGGGTGATCCATCAGTTGACAAACTTTTATCCCTACTGTATAAGCAAATGATCGAATCAACATCATGCTGACTGCTATGTCTTTGAATGCCGTTGCGGTGAGATTGTTCATACAGGCGGCATACTACCCGCCAAACTGATATCCGTATAATTGGGTATCGGCTTCTTTTGCGGAAAATGTGTGACTACGTCAACTTGGTGGCCACGTTTCGCTAAGCCTTTCATCAATTCTTCTTGCATAATCCAGTGACTTTTACCGTTATACGGAAATATTCCGAGAATGCGATAACCATCAACAACTTGATCGCAGATCAGAATCGCGAAAAGAATCGATAGTAGCTTCATGTTGATTTGATAGTCCACTGCTTCTGCGTTTAATACTTATTATATCCAACTTATTTGACTTATATAACTTTGATTCATGTAAGAAGTAGCTAGCCAATTGCTAATTGTAAAGATAAATTGCACTATTTCTGAAATACATCAATCAATGTTACAAATAAAATGACACATCATTTTTTTGTAGAGATAAAATTTCATAGATTGCATTTAAAATAATATCTGGAATATTATAATCTGAACGATAGATTAACCCTTTGCGTTCGAGTATCGGCAAATAACCGCCCAAGCCTTTTTACCCTTGCGGACGCGTGTCGGCATATAGCCGCCCAATTGAGTTTACAGCTGCGGAGACGTATTATGAAGCGGCTCGCGTACGTCTATCTTTCTGAACGATAACATACGCGTGGTAGTATATATAGTAGACTAAAGAGTTAAGTTTTCTGCGCTCGTCGGGCGACTCCGACCGCAAAGGTTTAATAATGCATTGTGACTAAAATTTTCACTTGATTGTGTATACGAAATGATAACATTGGTGATAAGTATGATAATGTATAGTAATGTATGGTAATGTAAGTCATTCTTGTCTATCGTATTCTGCTTACTTTGTTATTATAAAACTCATAGAATATTCAAAGCTACACTTCTTTTTACTTTAAAATTGTCTTTTAGTTTTTTTATGGACGAAGTTGATTGATAATATCCGGAATTGTCACTTTGTTTTTCAACTTGTATTTCGTATTTTACAAATTGCTATCAGTATGAATTCCGGAAAATTTTTTATCACGATATAATCAAAGAAATTTGCGAATAAAGTTTATATACATTTAGTAATTCTTTAAGATAAATTTTTCTACCGTAATATAAATAAGAGATTCTTGAAACACAAGTAAGTTTTGTGTTTGAATTTTTCATGTGTACATGAATGTTGTTTTATTTTTTTTTCAAAATCTTCTTTTCAAAATTATCAATTTTGGGACAAAGAACCATATAATAAATTAATCAGAAGAAACTCAAATTCACTTACTGTTCGATAACACAATAATTGTTTTTTAAATTGCATTAATTAAAAGAAGCAATCTAATGCTATTCAATATGTCGCTCATTTTCTGACACACACATTACAAAGAGTTTCACAACTGTAATGACAGTGGTGAACACGGACTGTTTTCTCGTCAGAAAAGATAAATCATAATGAAAGGAGTGATGGTAATGATATATCCGATATTCCATGTGTAATGGACTTTAATCATCTAGCGCAATCTATCTCATAACGAGAATTTTGCGAAATATCGGAGTACAGTCTTCATTTCATTTCTTATCTAACATTCTTGATAATTTTTGTTCAATAAATTTATTCATACATTATTTGTATATGGACAATTTCCAAAATTTATACTTTAAATAAAAACTAAATAACACAAATTATATGTAATAATTAACAAAATGTCCAATTCTTACAATTTAAATTTTTATAAAATAGTCCTTTCGAAATATTAATTTATGATTTTAATTTTATTGATCATAATAAAGAAGCTATTATCATTAAATAATAATCACCCATTTAATCACGTAGAGTAATCGTAGAATAAGGTAAAAAATAAAATAATACACACTTGTACAGTACGTGTCGCAATGTTTTTTCACTTGTTCTTCTTCAATTTAATCGCTGCGCTGTCTTTCCTTGCGGGCAATCCAAATAAAAGATTCTTCAATTTTCGTAGAACAAACAGCACGATACAAAGTGCTATAATAATCACGGCAACTATAAAGGCATAAACGTCGAGTAAGTTTAGTTGCCACCAATAGAGATCAATCGCTGGTGATTGAAGCACATTTCCATGTTTCCCGATGTACTCTATCCAAAATATGGACGTGTTCAAGGCGCTCATCGGTCGATCGACAAACAGTTTTGAAAGTCTCTGTACATTTTTACTGAAAGATGCAAGAAAGAGAAAGGCACTTATTATATATCGATATAGCAAGATCGATGTTGCTAAAAGCAATTATGGCAGGAAACTCGAAATCGTGCAATCGTACAATATTTGTTGGACGCATTTCAAAGATTTCGATTTATCGCGAGATTTCGCTTTAATCTCGAAAAAAATGCACGATTTATATAATTAATGAATTTATTTTTCATATAAATTTCTCATCTTTTCCTTCTTGTTCTACCGAGTTGTAGTGTTTGTCCTTCAACACAAGACGTATTTCATATGGATACGAATGAAACGAGAATTTTAAGGCACGTATCGATTGACTAGAATTCATTCGCGATATGCATTCAAGAATTGAGAAAGCTTTGTCACATTAGAAAGCACACGTTCTACTTATTTCTTATTATATGCAATAGATTACGGATTAATATGCATCATTTAATAAAATTAAACTCTAAGTAAACTGTCTCTTCTTAAATATAATTATTTTATTTTTGAAAAAAAAACCAATAATAAACCAACAGCAATAAAATTATCAAGCAAAATGCTAAAATAATTGATTAAACAAAGATTAATAATAAATAAAGTGAAATATAATAAATAAAAAAATGAAAAAGTAAACGAAATTAAAAAATATAAAAATATATATGAGAAAATTTAATTATATATGTAAATATGTAATCAAAGCTTTATATATATGTATGTATTCATTATAATATATATAATAATTACATAAAAATAATATTTTGTGCAACTTTTGAAATATCAGTTATCTAGTTAACGAGAAATACTTTTCGTGTTTGCGGTTTTTACATGATCAATGTTATCATTTCATTAATTTTGATTGAATACGATTATGATTGATAGATAATTTGCTTAAGGTCTGACGTTTATAGTACTTTGAGCACTTACTAATAAGAAGGATCCTTTAAGATTTTATTTAATGCGGAAGTTAATTTCTCCTCGGTAACATCATATATTGATTCAAAGGCGACAGCCACCTTCTTGTTGACGTAATTTTGAATATTGATGCGCTGATCACCGAAAAGAGGAATGCCTATCATAGGAACTCCACAATATATCGATTCTTGTGTTCCTAAGCCGCCGCCGTGCGTAATGAAACCACGTGTATTTTTATGTTCTGTGGAATATATAATTTTTTTCATTTACATTGCAAAATGATAATGATTGGATGCGTTCAACAACAAATGCACAGCGCGTAAAACTAACAATGTAAATTTTAATTTAAAAAGTCAAAGAATCTTTTCATATAAGTAAATAAAAGTAAAAGGGACTTATTACCGACTTATCGATTTTTTTAAAACTTCTTATTTTCCAAAAACATATATTGTATGTAATTTCGATTATTTAAATATTTCAGAATTTGATTTGATTGTATGTAACTCTTTTCCATAAATATTAATTTTCAAAATCCTTTTCTTAGAACATGATAAATATATTTTATCTTTTAATTGAGTATTTTTCATCTAATATTAATGATTAAAACTTTGCAATGTTTTTCTATATTTGTGTGTTAAAAACTCTTATAAATGTATTAGAAAAGTGAATTATAAATTACAAAATTTTTATTACAAAAAAATTTGATCGGAAAAAAATTTTTTTAGTGAGATTGCTCAATTTTTATGTAAATGAATTATAGTGTGCAAACACCGTGAATTTTTATCGCGAGTGACTCCAATGATAAGAAGACTAAGAAACAAATATAATTTGTTATAGTAATCCAGTAATAATTGATCTAGCAATAATTATTTACTTAGAACGGAGATCTGCGGAAACCAAGATTGCGTCATGACATTCTTCGGTAATCCTGGCAACAAATCTTCTTTCTTCGCGACCTTCATCAGCACACGAACTGGCGCGATCTTCTCGAAAGATGCATAGAATTGTTCTGTTATTTCCTTCGGAAAAGTTTCAATCCTTACCATGGAACCGAACGTAAAATAAATACAACCATTCTTGCTTTCGTCCAACCATTTTTGCACTTCCTACAATAAACTTTTTTAAAACAAATAGTTTAGGATAAATTATCCTAATATTATAAGCATATAATATTTTTATACATATATCACGGAATAAGCAAATCTTTAGATTGTTGCTTCCAAAAATGAAATATACTTAAAAAAAAGAGGACAGATCATTAAATAATGAAATTTGCAATGAAGCAATATAATTATTTTTTGTGTTTATCATAATGGTTATGCGCATATTTATATACGATTATTGAAAGAAAAAGATTTCGTTTTTAATAAAAATTCATGACAGAGAAAATACAAAATAGCTCATTCGTTATCACAATGCACAGATCATGTAAAATATTACATTTAATAAAAAATAAGATATATATGTATATTTTGTTATTTAAATACGCTATTTTTGAACATAAAATTTCTTTTTCTTTCTCCTAATTTTCCTAGAATAATTTTACATTATATTTACTTGAACTTTCCATTTCAAATTTTCTTTGTGAAATAATTATTTTATTTATAGATACTTTTTTATTCTTTACTGGCTTTGAATGAAAAAATGGAGTAGATAGAATTGCATTAATAATAAAAAAATTTCATCAGATCTCATTATGCGCAGAAAGAACTAACATGCGTTATAGGAATAATTTGCGAAGAAATCAATTTTTATTTTATTATACCGGCGGCAATGGATCGTCGTCCTTGAGATGCACACCGCCGACTTCGATTACATTAGTGGTCATTGGCCTAATTCCGTGTAACGAGTGATGAGTATTGACCAGGTACAAAGCTATGTCGCGGTACAAGTCCTTTATGTGTGACACATCTATATCAAAGTGCTTTTTCACGAATTCCAATTGTGAATTCGTTTCATAATGTACTTGTGCTGAGAAGTAGTTTGATAAAATAACGTTTGCCACTCGTTGCGTGAAACTCATGCGTTGGGTGTATGTCGAGAGCAAGCTTGGAATGTAAGCGAGATTAAATGGATTGCCGGACACCTCGTTGAGCCAATCGTGAAAAATACTAGCCACCGTAGCGACTATGGGAACATTGAGATGACGGCCAAAGGCCAGGTAGCACGGTGTCGCAAACAACTGTAAATCAAAACATTGCAATTTATCGATCGATTAATTATTCACAATCATCTCGCAGTCACACTCGCCAAGTCATCAGTTGAATTATACTATTAATAATCGAGTGTAACTCAATTGATGCAACATGATGAAATGTGCCATTCGGATAGGGGGGTGGGGGGAACAAAGTCCCATTATGGCACGCTGCTACTCAAAATAATGAGATAAATAGATGTAACTAACAACATTGTAAAATGGCAAAAACAAAGATATAAACGTTATATTATATATTAATTATACCATGAGATATATAACTGAATAATTCTCTCGATACACAAAGATACTGTATTTAAGACGCGTTCACATAATAATCCTGTCCATAAATCTTGTCCTGTCAAATATACAATGATATTTCGGGATTCAAATGTCCTTGTCGCTAATGACTAAAATCATTAACGTATGATATAATTTTTGCAATAAAATTTATCAAATTTCCGCATGTAATTACGCGAATACAAATTGAAAAATATAAATGATAGCTTGTTGAGTATTATGTATTGAATAATTAATTAATATAATTTATCACACTTTCATAAATTATATGCAACCTCTTTTCATTGAAATATTTATTTTAAATAGCAAATAAAATATTTATTATTTGAATGATGCAACATGCACTCATAATCACGGTTATATTTTAATGTATATCGTGTTCTTATTTCATATTCTAAAATTTTTTTTAAGATTAATTTTACATAAATGTGTCATAAATTCTAAAATTTTTTTAAGATTCATTGTTACATAAATGTGTTAACTTTCAATTCGTGAATTGTGTTAGTTAATGAACTCAGACGCCGAAAAACCACCGTATGACTGTAAAACCACACGCAAAAAGTGCACAGTCATAAGACAATTTCTGATAATGATCTAAAGTTATTTTGCAATCGTCAATTTTGGTATAACTTAATTTGGTACTTTGATGTAGTACTATTCATTAGTAAGAGACACTTGAATTAATGGTTTAATCAGTGACCTTTAAATTATTGTTATTATTAATATTATTGTTATTGTCATTATTGTCACTATTGTCATCATTATTATTATTATTATAAAAATAGAGACAAAATTGAGACAAAATATTGTCTGCCAAAGGTTGTTTCTCTTGTTTATATATATCTAGATTTAGTGAAATAATTATTTAGTCCAGGCTTAAATAAAGTCTTGAGTAAACGATTACTTGATTAAATTTAACTTTTTTCTCTCATTCTCCATGCGTGACAAAAATGCTGCTATTCTGGATTGTTTGTTGCTATATAATGTATGTAGTGTCTGTTGTTCTCATAATTTACTGATTTTAAATTGTAATTATCTTCTTCTTTCCGATGATTAGCATTTTTTAATAATAATGATATTATTCTTTCTTAAATATGTTTGCGATTAAAAAAATGTGAATATTTTTAGCGTAAAAATTAAATAGAAAAGCACAAGGAAAACGTTGGACATATTCATAATATGAAACACATCTCATCACAATATATAAAGTGTTTTATGATTTTTATCAAGTCATATTTAAATAAAATTCTTTTAATAAGTGGGAGGATTAATTGTTTATTAATAAAAATATCAAACAATTTTTGCATTTTAAAGAATAAAAATAAAAGTTCTTTGCGAATTAAACTTTTGATGCAAGTCATTAATGGGATTTTACTCTATTCATTTAATGTCAAGCAAGTTTTACTGAAAATATTAAAGTATTTAAGAATTTTACAACTGCAAAGAGCAAAATAATCTGACATTGAAATGAAAAGCACAAAATCTTGGAAAATTATCAGAAAAGTTTTAATACAGATTTGACCGGTTCAAGAGATAGCATTCTATAAAAATACGTAATTTTAAATAATAAAAATTTTTTTATTCATACAAGAGTGAATAAACATGCACATATTCGAAAGCATTCTTAATAATCATACCTCCGTAATAACTATGTCATAAGGAGGATTCTGCGGCGGGTTCTTGATCAGTTCTTGTATCTTCGGGTGATCCATCAGTTGACAAACTTTTATCCCGGCTGTATAAGCAAATGATCCAATCAATATCATGCTGACTGCTATGTCTTTGACTGTCGTTGCGGTGAAATTGTTCATAACAGGCGGCATACTACCCGCCAAACTGATATCCGTATAATTGGGTATCGGCTTCTTTTGCGGAAAATGTGTGACTACGTCAACTTGATGGCCACGTTTCGCTAAGCCTTTCATCAATTCTTCTTGCATAATCCAGTGACTTTTACCGTTATACGGAAATATTCCGAGAATGCGATAACCATCAACAACTTGATCGCAGATCAGAATCGCGAAAAGAATCGATAGTAGCTTCATGTTGATTTGATAGTCACTGCTTCTGCGTTTAATACTTATTATATCCAACTTATTTGACTTATATAACTTTGATTCATGTAAGAAGTAGCTAGCCAATTGCTAATTGTAAAGATAAATTGCACTATTTCTGAAATACATCAATCAATGTTACAAATAAAATGACACATCATTTTTTTGTAGAGATAAAATTTCATAGATTGCATTTAAAATAATATCTGGAATATTATAATCTGAACGATAGATTAACCCTTTGCGTTCGAGTATCGGCAAATAACCGCCCAAGCCTTTTTACCCTTGCGGACGCGTGTCGGCATATAGCCGCCCAATTGAGTTTACAGCTGCGGAGACGTATTATGAAGCGGCTCGCGTACGTCTATCTTTCTGAACGATAACATACGCGTGGTAGTATATATAGTAGACTAAAGAGTTAAGTTTTCTGCGCTCGTCGGGCGACTCCGACCGCAAAGGTTTAATAATGCATTGTGACTAAAATTTTCACTTGATTGTGTATACGAAATGATAACATTGGTGATAAGTATGATAATGTATAGTAATGTATGGTAATGTAAGTCATTCTTGTCTATCGTATTCTGCTTACTTTGTTATTATAAAACTCATAGAATATTCAAAGCTACACTTCTTTTTACTTTAAAATTGTCTTTTAGTTTTTTTATGGACGAAGTTGATTGATAATATCCGGAATTGTCACTTTGTTTTTCAACTTGTATTTCGTATTTTACAAATTGCTATCAGTATGAATTCCGGAAAATTTTTTATCACGATATAATCAAAGAAATTTGCGAATAAAGTTTATATACATTTAGTAATTCTTTAAGATAAATTTTTCTACCGTAATATAAATAAGAAATTCTTGAAACACAAGTAAGTTTTGTGTTTGAATTTTTCATATGTACATGAATGTTGTTTTATTTTTTTTTCAAAATCTTCTTTTCAAAATTATCAATTTTGGGGACAAAGAACCATATAATAAATTAATCAGAAGAAACTCAAAATCACTTACTGTTCGATAACACAATAATTGTTTTTTAAATTGCATTAATTAAAAGAAGCAATCTAATGCTATTCAATATCGCTCATTTTCAGACACACACATTACAAAGAGTTTCACAACTGTAATGACAGTGGCGAACACTGATTGTTTTCTAGAAAAGATAAATCATAATGAAAGGAATGATGGTAATGATATATCCGATATTCCATGCGTAATGGACTTTAATCTTCTAGCGCAATCTATCTCATAACGAGAACTTTGCGAAATATCGGAGTACAGTCTTCATTTCATTTCTTATCTAACATTCTTGATAATTTTTGTTCAATAAATTTATTCATACATTATTTGTATATGGACAATTTTCAAAATTTATAATTTAAATAAAAACTAAATAACACAAATTATATGTAATAATTAACAAAATATCCAATTCTTACAATTTAAATTTTTATAAAATGGTCCTTTCGAAATATTAATTTATGATTTTAATTTTATTCATCATAATAAAAAAGCTATTATCATTAAATAATAATCACCCATTTAATCACGTAGAGTAATCGTAGAATAAGATAAAAAAATAAAATAATACACACTTGTACAGTTCGTGTCGCAATATTTTTTCACTTGTTCTTCTTCAATTTAATCGCTGCGCTGTCTTTCCTTGCAGGCGATCCAAATAAAAAATTCTTCAATTTTCGTAGAACAAACAGCACTATACAAAGTGCTATAATAATCACGGCAACTATAAAGGCATAAACGTCGAGTAAGTTCAATTGCCACCAATAGAGATCAATCGCTGGTGATTGAAGCACATTTCCATGTTTTCCGATGTACTCTATCCAAAATATGGACGTGTTCAAGGCGCTCATCGGTCGATCGACAAACAGTTTTGAAAGTCTCTGTACATTTTCACTGAAAGGTGCAAGAAAGAGAAAGGCACTCATTATATATCGATATAGCAAGATCGATGTTGCTAAAAGCAATTATGGCAGGAAACTCGAAATCGTGCAATCGTACAATATTTGTTGGTCGCATTTCAAAGATTTCGATTTATCGCGAGATTTCGCTTTAATCTCGAAAAAATGCACGATTCATATAATTAATGAATTTATTTTTCAAATAAATTTCTCATCTTTTATCCTTCTTGTTCTACCGAGTTGTAGTGTTTGTTCTTCAACACAAGACGTATTTCATAAGGATACGAATGAAACGAGAATTTTAAGGCACGTATCGGTTGACTAGAATTCCCTCGCGATATGCATTCAAGAATTGAGAAAGCTTTGTCACATTAGAAACACACACGTTCTACTTGTTCCTCATTATATGCAATAGATTACGGATCGATATGCATCAACTAATAAAATTAAACTCTAGGTAAACTGTCTCTCCTTAAATAAATTTATTTTATCCTTAAAAAAAAACCAATGATAAACCGCAATAAAATTATCAAACAAAATGCTAAAATAATTGATTAAACAAAGATTAATAATAAATAAAGTGAAATATAATAAATAAAAAAATGAAAAAGTAAACGAAATTAAAAAATATATATGAGAAAAATTAATTATATATGTAAATGTGTAATCAAAGCTTTATATACAAGGTGTCCCGAAACTCATAATCAATCTTTCAAAGACAGATTCCTGGGATCATCTGAAGACGATTTTTCCTCAACGAAAATGTCGAGGCACTAATAATTTTCGAATTATAAGTGATTGGAAATAAGGGGTTTTTCGTAAACTAAACTTTGCAGAAATAAAATATTAACAAAACCACATTCTTCGATTAATTTTAAATAGAGTTTACTTTAGTTGAGTTTTAATTTAAGGCTTAATTGCAAAGATATATGATGATAAAAATCGAGAACATGCAAAAAGTGATGGCCTTCATCGACATTTTCGCTGAGGAAAAATCGTCTCCAAATGATCCCAGAAATCTGTCTTCGAAAGATTGATTATGAGTTTTGGGACACCCTGTATATGTATGTATCATTATAATATATTTAATAATTACATAAAAATAATATTTTGTGCAACTTTTGAAATATCAGATATCTAGTTACCGAGAAATACTTTTCGTGTTTGCGGTTTTTACATGATGAATGTTATCATTTCATTAATTTCGATTGAATACGATTATAATTGACAGATAATTTGCTTAAGGTCTGACGTTTATAGTACTTTGAGCACTTACTAATAAGAGGGATCCCTTAAGATTTTATTTAATGCCGAAGTTAATTTCTCCTCCGTAACATCATATATTGATTCAAAGGCGACAGCCACCTTCTTGTTGACGTAATTTTGAATATTGATGTGTTGATCGCCAAAAAGAGGAATACCTATCATAGGAACTCCACAATATATCGATTCTTGTGTTCCTAAGCCGCCGCCGTGCGTAATGAAACCACGTGTGTGTTTATGTTCTGTGGAATATATAATTTTTTTCATTTACATTGCAAAATGATAATGATTGGATGCGTTCAACAACAAATGCACAGCGCGTAAAACTAACAATGTAAATTTTAATTTAAAAAGTCAAAGAATCTTTTCATATAAGTAAATAAAGGGATTTATTACCGATTTATCGACTTTTTTAAAACTTCTTATTTTCCAAAAAACATATATTGTATGTAATTTCGATTATTTAAATATTTCAGAATTTGATTTGATTGTAACTCTTTTCCATAAATATTAATTTTCAAAATCCTTTTCTTAGAATATGATAAATATATTTTATCTTTTAATTCAGTATTTTTCATCTAATATTAATGATTAAAACTTTGCAATGTTTTTCTATTTTTTTTTTATTAAAAACTCTTATAAATGTATTAGAAAAGTGAGTTATAAATTACAAAATTTTTATTACGAAAAAATTTGATCGGAAAATAATTTTTTTGTGAGATTGCTCAATTTTTATGCAAATGAATTATAGTGTGCAAAAACCGTGAATTTTTATCGCGAGTGACTCCAATGATAACTAAGAAACAAATATAATTTATTATTGTAATCTAGTAATAATTGATCTAGCAATAATTATTTACTTAGAACAGAGATCTGCGGAAACCAAGATTGCGTCATGACATTCTTCGGTAATCCTGGCAACAAATCTTCTTTCTTCGCGACCTTCATCAGCACACGAACTGGCGCGATCTTTTCGAAAGATGCATAGAATTGTTCTATTATTTCCTTAGGAAAAGTCTCAATCCTTACCATGGAACCGAACGTAAAATAAATACAACCATTCTTGCTTTCGTCCAACCATTTTTGCACTTCCTACAATAAACTTTTTTAAAACAAGTAGTTTACGATAAATTATCCTAATATTATGGCATATAATATTTTTATACATCTAACATCACGGAATGAGCAAATCTTTAGATTGTTGCTCCCAAAAATAAAATATATTTAAAAAAAGAGGATGAAAAAATGGAGTAGATAGAATTGCATTAATAATAAAAAAATTTCATTAGATCTCATTATGCGCAAAAGAACTAACATGCGTTACACGAATAATTTGCGAATAAATCAATTTTTATTTTAATATACCGGCGGTAATGGGTCGTCGTCCTTGAGATGCACACCGCCGACTTCGATTACATTAGTGGTCATTGGCCTAATTCCGTGTAACGAGTGATGAGTATTGACCAGATACAAAGCTATGTCGCGGTACAAGTCCTTGATGTGTGGTACATCTATATCAAAGTGCTTTTTCACGAATTCCAATTGTGAATTCGTCTGATAGTGTATTTGTGCTGAGATGTAGTTTGATAAAATAACGTTTGCCACTCGTTGCGTGAAACTCATGCGTTGGGTGTATGTCGAGAAAAAGCTTGGAATGTAAGCAAGATTAAGTGGATTGCCGGACACCTCGTTGAGCCAATCGTGAAAAACGCTAGCCACCGTAGCGACTATTGGAACATTGAGATGACGGCCAAAGGCCAGGTAGCACGGTGCCATGAACAACTGTAAAAAATTGAAACACATTGCAATTTATCAATCGATTAATTATTCACAAACATCTCGCAGTTACACTCGCCAAGTCATGTGTTCCGCGATCAGAAGACACGCGATTCTGCATCCATTTAGCAATGTAATTCATAATGCAGCTCGTGTAGTTGAATTATACTATTAATAATCGTGTGTAATTCAACTGATGCAACATGATGAAATGTGCCATTCGTTTGGGGGGGGGGGGGGAGAAACAAAGTCCCATTATGGCACGCTGCTACTCAAAATAATGAGATAAATAGATGTAACGAACAACATTGTAAAATGACAAAAACAAAGATATAAACGTTATATTACATATTAATTGTACCATGAGATATATAACTGAATAATTATCTCAATACACAAAGATTCTGTGTATTTAAGACGCATTCACATAATAATCCTGTCCATAATTCTTGTCCTGTCAAATATACAATGATATTTCTGGATTTAAATGTCCTTGTCGCTAATAATTAAAATCATCAACGTATGATATAATTTTTGCAATAGAATTTATCTAATTTTATTATTATTATAGAGATAATGAGACAAAATTTTGTCTGCCAAAGGTTGTTTCTCTTGTTTATATATATCTAGATTTAGTGAAATAATTATTTAGTCCAGGCTTA